TGACTGCAGTGAAGAAACGAAAATTAAAATGGTATGGGCATGTCGCAAGATCCACAGCACTTGCCAAAACAACCCTACAAGGAACCGTATAAGGAAAGAGTAAGAGACGAAGGCAGAGAAGGAGATGGGAGGACAACATTGCAGACTGGACAGGAAAGACGATGGGTGACAATCTGAGGAAAGCAGAGAAGAAAGATAAATGGCGAGAGCTGGTTTGCAGATGTAGTGGTGCCCCCACGGTTGCCCCAACCATGGGATAGAAGAAGAAGAAGAAAAAACATACCGGTAAAGCCACATTGTAGATTCTGATATAATATGTGACGAGTGGTATGATGCTACACCTCTTTGTCTCTTTGCTATTGATGCAAGCTTTTCACTACTGGCGATAGTTGTGTATTTCATTTAACCCTATCCGTACGTCGTGTTTTACTATCGTATTCATACGACGTGGAGAACTCTCTGCCACCACTTTCCAAAGAGGAAATTACTCGTTAATCCGGCTGTACTCTTTGCATAGCAGTCTGTCAAAAGGATTTTTTGAGAAATACTGAAAGCTTCAAAGAGATCTTCGCACTATAAGTATTCTAAAATGTGAAGAATACAACCCTGGGGCTACAAAATGACCCCAGGGCGTACAGATAGGGTTGAACAAATGTATTTTTTCTCGACACGGTATTTTCAGGTTCGTGTCAATTTTTGGGACAAATTTTGGAGTTATTGTGTTATCTTAAAGAATATTTCACTTGTCTTGCTATTGAAGAAAAAATACTCATCTATCTTGATTACAGAAGTTAAGATATTTCCAATTAAAGGAGGTGGAGGTTTGCCTGGTGTCAGAGGTAAAATCAACGAGAAAATAAAGGATGGTGACTTCCAATCCTTGAGCGCCCTTAAAAACTGCAAATTTTGCATTTCTGTGTATTTGATCAACGGTTTTCAGTAAAACTCCACACAGAAATGTGTTTTAATGTACATGAAAGGTGTTGGGCCCCCCCCCCCCCCCCCCTTTCGCCAAAATAATAACTATAATAGTAAATAAATAGAATAAATAAAATCTAATTTCATTTCATTTCGTTTAATTTGATTAATCAAAAAATAAAGAGATAAAATATGACGCCACGGGCTGTTTAGATCTAAATTCTACCCGACTTATACCCCGTATACAACAAATCTAACAGAGGCAACGGTAACTATCGACCAAGCAACCCCCCTACCCCCCTAAAAAAAAACCCAAAAAAACCTCCAGAAAGTAACAACATTATATTATCTTTTAAAAGAAAAAGTAGTTTAATCGTGTTTCATAAGACCTTTTCGTTACGGTTCATCAAAGACAAGGCATCAGCCCCGATTGTTATCGTGATAAACAACGACGTAACGTATAACAAGTACATTTTGTTTTCAGTTATCAACAGCTAACCCATTATTTATACTATAACTGTACCAGGCACGGTTCGTCCATAGAGCACGGTCGTGCAGTGCCGCCCAATTTTTGTATATGTTCTATTACGTAAAACACCCACAATAATAAAATAATAGAAGCCAGAAAAAACATTAGCCAAATATTATATCAAAACAAGGTCCTCACGGGCGCCACAACTGTCATTTCTATGTCTATAGCGCCGAAAAACATCTACTATGCAATACCAAAATCCACGCGCTTTAATAGGATATTCAACAGTATAACCTGACCTATAAATCGCTCTAGGGGATAACCCAAGCGATGACGACACTTGTAGCGAGTTTGGCGGTACATTAATATTAATAAGACGGCACATCTCAGATGTGCTCCTGCCGAATAGTGCCGAAACATAGCCCACAGTTGGCAGTCTTAAAATTAAACGCCCTAGACCATGAGCTATTATTTACCAATATTATGTGAGCCCCGGAGCAATCCAACGGAGTGCTCAAATGTATTGTGATTGGTTCATTGTCTGTCGTCTTGCCACTATTTTGATATTTGAAAGCTTTGGTTCTGTCTATCTGAATTACTTTTTCCTGCACTGTATGACCGCTATCGTGTCGATGTGCTTCTCTTTACTCAAATTCAATTCCTAAGTATTTCATTTTGACTGCTGGACTAAGACAAACACGTCACACTGCCCTCCCAGTCTGTTGTTACTTGGACTTATGCATAACTTTAGGAAATGAGAAATGCTTCTTGCAAAACTTAAATTCATATTGAATCCGTTACAGGTAGGCTATCCTCAAAACCAGTCCTAGCTTTACAGGTTTTTGCTTGGCTCCATCTTTGGACGCGGGCCCGTATAAATATAATAAAACATAAGATATCAGAATTTCAGGTTTTATTTTAGACCAAGAAAGTGTTTTATGTATCTTAAGGTTGGAGTGGGGGGTGGAAGGGTTGGGGGGGGCGGGTCTGGGATGACTGGTGGATTGCTACGGGCGTGTTTCATCAATAGCAGTCTTATTTTCTTTTTTTAACATTTGA